CCCTCGCTCATTTATTCTTGATCCTTTTTTTTTTTTTGGTTCTCAGCGCTCTATACATCCGGCTGTGTGCGGCCGATGCGTGCAGCCCCGCTCTTCACAGCCCGCATATATATATATATATATATATGCGTTTGTGTGACTGCTTGTCCCTTCTTTTTGCAAGAATTCGGGGGAGGGGAATATCGTCGCGGGCTTCCTTGCCTTCTTCCCTGTGCGTCAGATGTGCATATATCTCGTGCCTCCCAACACCCGCAGTGCCGACGGCAGCCACAGCGGAAGGGGCAGACGGATCTGACAACTGTGGCTCTCTCACTTCTTTCAATTCCCTTCCTTTTCCTTTTCCTTGTTGTTGTTGTTGTTGCTGCCTCCGCCCACTCCGCCTCGCTGGCGCAGGGTCAAGGTTGTATTAAAAGCGAACGAGAAGAGAGAGGTTGGGTGAGTGAAAGCGAAAGCGAGAGGGACATATATATAGAAGCACGCACACGCACAACTACACCGATAACACGCAACATGTCCTCTGTGAAGTGCGCAAAGGTGGCGAAGATCATGGCACCGCTCTGCAAGGTGGCCGGAAAGATTGAGCAGCGCTCGGTGAAAAAGCTCAGCGTGGTGGACGCCGGTGTCGCACAGGCGATTGCGGAGCACAACGCGAACGGAACAGACGCTGCCGTCTGCAGCACGAAGCGGTACATCTATGAACAGAAGCAACTGATCAACTACCGTGTTGTGCGGTTCTTCGATGAGTGCCGCTACCTCGCCTCTGGTGAGTACTTCCGCACGTACACCGTTAAGAACTTAATCTGGGACGTCCGCTTCTTCACGAAGGTGCTGCTGCTGTTCATTCTCGGCGTGCTGTTCGGCCGGCAGAGCATCTTCCCGCCTATCGACCCCGATTCACCGCTCGTCACAGCACTGGAAACCAAGGTGAACCCGAACTACTAGCTGCCAGTGCGGCCGAAAGAACATTAACCAAAAAAAAACAGCAGCGCGGCAGCAGCAGTTCTTGAGGATGAGGAGAGAGAGAAAGAGAGAGNGGGGGGGGGGAGAGGGAGAAAGATAGAGGGACGCATGTGTGCATCACGCCGTACCTCTCGTTCTCCTTTGTAATTTGTAGTAAAGTAGTAGTGTGTGAGGCTGCATTTATGTTGGGTGGCGATGCGAGGAGAGAGAGAGAGAGAGAGAAGGAGGTGGAATAAAGGGTGCGAGGTGCGTGATGCGGGAGTGTGTCGCCCTGGCCTCTTTAGACTTCTCTCTCCTCCTTCCTACAAGGAAATCACGCATAAATGTAGTGTGTTGAATGACAACCTAAATTTAGGAAGCAGCGAAAGAAAAGACACACACATGCGTAGACACACATGTGGCAGCAGATCTTCTTCTTTGAGGGGGTTTGCTCCACAGCATTGGTATTAGATAGAAGAGGGCTTTGGTGTCTTCTTGCTGTCTCGACTGTCCATGTGTTTATGTTTGTCTTGATTCATGTGTCTTTGTGGTTGTTGTAGGGCTGTATATATATATATATATATATATATATA